TTAACAAAAAAAAATATTTTTTGCTATAAATATGAAAAATTCTATAGTTTTATAATTTTATTATACAATAATACGGGCAAAATCAGAACAAACCGCGATCTGCTCGACCCGTGACTCGCGTGGGCTTGACCCGAATGGGTCAGCGGGCGGGCCTTTGTTGTAGTTCAAAATTTGTGGGCCGGCCCGGAACCGGCCCGGAACCCGTAGCGGGGGGACTTTTTTCATACGGACCGTTACCAGGCTCATATGTTGGCGGGCCGACCCGACCCGGACCACCCGGATTGACACCTCTAATTCTGGGTAGTTGCTTCCTTGTCATATCATGAAATTACAATACGATCAATTTATCTCTGGGATGCATTTTGTGTTGATCAAGGATATTAAAACTCTTTAGTACTCAGATCCGCTACAAGAAATTAGTGCTTACCTCACTTGCAAAAATCTGAAGGAAACTGGAGCATGTTACTTCATTTCTTATTCGAACTCTATCATACATAAAAGTCAGGTCTTTCCACCCATCTTTCCCACTCTCTGGCCCGAACATCGGGTGAGTGCAAAGCACATCCGAATCTTGAGGCACGACCTTTACGAGACATTATATTGCTGCCAATATTAGATTAAGAGCACAAAAAACATGTCATTTGTATTGAAACATTATGAAATTTGCATATATACTTGTAGCAGCAGGTCTCTTGGGTACTCTTTAACTGAGAGTACATCGGCGAAAAGGGCGGGCTGTTTCAAGGAATGGAATGAAATTGACTTGATGACTTGTGACACAGACAGGATTGATGTGCACAGCAGTATGACATCATTGTTTGATTCAAGAAATGCAGTCATATCTCTGTTCATTCGTAGACGTAAACATTTTAGCTTATCAGCAAACTGTGTTGGAAAATTTACATGGTTTTTAGACAACTTCATATATATTTATACCTGAAAAATAGGATGCCCAAGTGAGTGCAGAGGTCTGTGTAATCTGATCTTGATGTGGCCCTGATGGAATGGCCTTGTTTTACCATGGTTTTTGACAGGAACTGTGCAAAAGGGCCAAAACCTATAATGCCTATCTTCAGGGTATTTGTTGAGGGGGAAGACATGGCGAGAGAGAGGAATTAGGTTTTGGATTGACCAGTGTAAAAGAACGCTGGAATTTGGACATTTGATTTGATAAAGTAGTGGCCATACATCCTTCGGCCGTCATTTTTAATTAACCCACATTTGAGTCACATTCTCATTTTTTGCTTATTTTTAACCACAAATTTTTCAATAAAATAATATTTTTCATTACATCAATAACGTTTCATTTTTTTTCAACCACATATTCAACATCAAATCACAAAAAAAAAATGTATTCTCTCCTAAAAAATGTGCTTCAAACACACTCTAAATTATAATTGGCATCTAAACATGTATTTGGGTGGGCTTACTGTATTGTGATCCATTACTTTTTGTACGAAAAATCTCTTGCCGTCAAGATCTGTCAGATTTACCGTTAAAAACTGTAAAAAACACCAAAATAAAAAAAAAAAGAATAATTTCAATTTCAATACTCAAAATTTTATTTTTTTGCAAATGAAATCCAATTTTGATTATACGTGCTACCATCTCAAATTTTTAAAACTTTATTTTTCACCCTACTCTATCCACTTCATCTTTTCCCCCAAAAATAAATTGCAGCAATAGTAGCTTATGTACAAAAGTAAGCTTCGTAGAGACTAGTTGCTCTCTGTTGCAAATTCGGAAAAAAATGAAACCGGTTTGTTGTTCAGCTTACTAGTTTTACAATTTGGTAGATATAATGCTGTACCTATTAAATCAGGGGTTGTTATATAAACAAAAGTAATAAGCTCCCAAAAAAAGGGGAGATGGCTAGTGCAAGATCTACTTATAATGGTTCGGTTTGAAACTTTGCACCTAGGCTCTCCTTTTGCATTTTATCAAATTCTATAGATTTGGAGGCTCTGTCTAGTTATTGTTACGCCTCTTACCAATGAGGCTCAACTCAAAGCCCACGTGGAACACTGTCAAAATAGACCAGGAGTAGTCCACGTGGTGAAAGTCAAAGCTTGACCGAAGCCATTGAAGGCCCATAAAAGAGGCCCAAAGTGAATCAATGAGAAGAAGCCCAACAGCCGAAGTGCCTCTTTATAGACGAAGCCCTAAGCCATATGACCTTATTTCGAATCGTCCTCTAAGGGCGAAATCCTACTCTCCGAAGACCTTTTCCCCCGAAGCCTCATCAGCTACAAGGGGCTTCGGATCAAAGGCAGTTTCCAAAGGAGATCCCAATTAAGATATGTTGAAAGCGATTGATGTGACAGGTAGACAAAAAGTACAAAATAGTACTATTGGACGGCTCCACTTTTTAGAGCCTTTATGTGTACGTGTTGACCTATGGTCAAATTTTATGTTTTGATTATAACAACCAAATTATGTTTATCTCTAATTCGAATCTTCAAAATGTTACATGTTGCCGACTTAATCAAATTGGAGATAAAACTATTGGACGAAAAGTTGTCGATCAAGAAAGCTCAAGATAAAAATTGATCGAGCACTCATGAAGACAAGCTTTGCATCATCTCAAAATCAAGCAACAAATCGAGCACTCGCGCCAATTTAATCGAAGACATTGGAACTAAATATTTTTAGCTCGTTTGTAAAGGTATAAAGCACTTTAATTCTTGCCAATGACACATTGAAAGTTCAAGTGACGAATTTCTTATGCACGATAAGGATTCATGTCATTAAAAACGTTTGCACAAAAAATATTTTTCAAATGTAAGATTTTCAACTTAATCTTGAATACTATTAAATCTCACTTACCTTGAAATATCTAGTAAAAATCTCATGCAAAATATTTACTGGCTGCAAATAAAACAAAGTTTTGACCCAGAAATTTCTGGTCATCCGGACGTCCGGTTCGCCAGCAACAGTCGAATTTTCAACCGTTCTGACAAGTTTCAAACGGCTATTTTCTGGGGTCGTCCGGTTCTGAATCGGACGTCTGGATGGGTCGTCCGGTTTGACAGAAAGTTGGCTTTTTCAACCGCTATAAATATTAGCTTACCTACTATCTATAAAGTGATTTTTTGAGCATTCAATTGATATTCCTTAGAAGCTAACATAGTATTGATTTCTCATATCACTCATTATCAAATCATTTTGTTATTGAAAAATCTT